TGTCTCATTTTTGTTAAACTATGTATTTTCAAAAATTGCAAAAGAAAAAAATGTAAAACGCAATATTATTGATATAGTTTTTACCAAAAAAATCTGTTTTAATAATGGGTTCTCAAATAAGGTCTAAAAATCTTCTCGAAGCAAAAATTATAGTTTTTGCGCAATTTTTGCGTAACTTGAAGGCAATTTATAAAAAAATATAATAATCTGTCATTAACAAAAGACGCTAGGTTGTGATTAATTGAGAAGGAGTATATCTGTAGTAGGGGAAATACAGAGATGAGGAAAGATAGGTGGACAGACCCACAGTGAACTTAGTTGCTGAATCCTGTAGGCAGACCTAATTGATTGTGGTCAAAAACAGCGAAAATATTAAGTAGATTTCTATGCTCCATTTCAGTTAAATACTTTTCGTTGTATGAAATCAAGATTTATTTTGTCATTCGGTGGTAGAGAAACATTAATCACACGTTTATTAATGCCTTAAAATGTACACTTTATTTTAAAGTTATGTAGAGAGTGAGAAACTAAACACGATGTCATTACTGCTCTGCACAAACATACTCTTTGGTTCTGCGCTAAATTCCACATGTTGGCACGTCCGGTCGGGGTATTTGCATGAATGTTGGTATCAGTTATATCTTTCTACTGCAGCGCTGTAGGTTAGGTGAACCGGTGGTGTACATGTGTACTACAAACGAAAACACCATTGCTCGAAGCCGAAGAACGCAAGCGAAAGACGAAGAATAAGCAAGACTTTCAAGTGGTTTCATCAGCCATAAATTACCAGTAGAAAAATGAGTTTTTTCAATTTTTTTCGTGGCTTTTTCGGATTTCCACCGGATGGCAACGCCAACAGGTGATATGTCAATGAATTGCAACTAGAACAGCTTGATACTGTATTCCTAATACATAGATTGCATGCATTCCACGAAAACATTTATTCGAAATATAATTGAGCACAAAATATTTTTAGACTCTCACTTGCGCACTACCACAGCGGTTTTATTGATTTGATTACTTTCTTTAAATTGTCATTGTCTTATTGACCAATTGCTTCACTGTGCTTATAAAGGCGGGGAGATTTGCCTGATGAACGACAACCCAATGGATTTCGAAACCCAATTTGGAGTCAAGATGACGATGATGATGACGATGAAGATTTTAGGTAAACATTCATGTGGGATATTACATGCATGAAATGCTTATAGGCTTGATTCATTTGATTGAGTAGAATGGATACTATTCGCTTTGCAGTTTCCTTAATAGAGGGCCGAGAAGTCGTTCTTTTCGTGTTGACAGCAATCCGTTAGAAATTCATCGTTTCTTTGAACAACAAATTGAGGATATGATGAGAAGTTTTGGTGCTTTTGGATTTGGAAGTTTTGGTATGTTGATGTATGAGAGTGAATTATATTTAATGAATGTGATTTGAAAGATGTAATATAAATGAACTTTTGTGTTACAGGATCAAGAGACTTTTTCTCTTTGGAACCACCTCCTATGGAGTCAGAACCTGATTCATTTGCAGGACCAAGTGATGCTTTCAAAGGCAGTTTACGTGAACAGTACTTGAAACCAGGATATGAGAGTGACAGCGGTCGAGGAAAAAATGAAAGGAAGATGGATAGCGATCTGGATGATCAGTAAGTCATATCTCCATTCCAATTAGGATTGAACACTTGTGATACATTTTGATGATTGATTCTAGATATATAAACTTATTTAGAAATACTTAGTCATAATATTTTATAAAAAGATTTAACAGACAATTAGATATTTGAAACATTTGATTTATAGTTCAGGGCAACTATAAAAAGCAATTTTATTCTGTTTTATCTTAAAAAAAAATTAATCTTAGAAGTTGGAGGCCCCCTCTTATGTTTGAGTAAATTTATGCATACGAGATCATAATCTCCAACCCTTTAATAATAATCCTCTAATCTAAGGGTTGACTTCGTGATACATTGACAAGTAAATTGAATTTGTATTAGATTGCAACATTTGGAAATATTATATGGCTCCTTAAACATTTGTGAATCCCATATTTGTTTAAAATATAAAAGAGACCTAAAACTCAGGTATATCTTTCATAGTCTCTTGTTCATTTTCAAGCAGGAAGCTCTAATGAGGACAACAAATTTATGTTGAGAAAATGTTAGCAAATCTAACAAAATAACTCATAAAGGATATTTTTATTTGTAATAAATAATTCTGACTCACAAGATTCCTCCTACAATTTATATGTTCCAAAATGTGACAGCTCAAGATATTCTCAACTTAAACTACTGAGGAATCACAACATTTGAATAGGAACAGTTGAATGTACTATTTTTCGTTCCCTCTAAATCTTAAATTGCTCTTTTTACAAAAATTATTTTTCTGACGTTTGACTATCTGTAACTGGGTAGTATGTAATATGTTCTTTGCACCATTTTTACTTCACTTCATAAACATGTGTCAGTAAAAGTATTGTTCATTCTGAATGTGATTAATATCATATAAGCAGTCATGTCTTTGCTTTTGGTTTTAAGTTCTTGTGAAGTCATGCAATGTTTACTTTGGTCCCATGCGATAATGTTTATGGGGCTTTTCACAACTACTAGGATGTTGTTGACCAAATAAGTAAAAGTGTGCAAGTTTGCCAATGTTTTGAAGTATTGATTCCATCATCAGGGCTTTCAGTGCAGAGCACTTTGTACTGAATTCATAGCCCTGAAATATTGGCATAGTAGTGAAGTTGCATTGACCTGACCAACATTTGGTTGCAACATTCCTCTAAAAATATAATAATTCACTAGTTATTTTATTGGCTAGCTCTTGGTCAGTGTGCTCGATTTCCACATAGCCTCGAGTTCAGTTCCCAGTCAGTAAAGATTAGAGTGTGCATTTTCCTTGCAATATCCCTGTATATTGCTGTGTGACGATGAGAAAATTTACTTCTCATGTTGAGAAGACCGGAATATGGCATAGGGATGTCTACGTGCTAACCTCTTAACACATGGCCGCGAGGCAGCGACGTCACTTGTAGGCTTGAGCGTGTTCATGGACTGTCATGCCTAGTACATATGTACATTATTGTATTACTGTTGATAATTAAAATTTATTTCATGTGGATATGAATCTTGCAACACAACATTATGAAGATTTTTTATATTGTTTGCTGATTGATTACATTTATTTAGTGTTTTTGGCATAAATTGATTTTTTATAACTGTTTTATTTGGTCATCATTAATATACTTTTTATTCTTGGAGAGCTTTTTTTAGCAGAGAGGGGAATATTTAACTCTTATCATTATCTTAAAACAAATTATTGCAGGCGTATAAAAATCATCCTCCTTATTTCCTTAGTGTTATGTTGCTTTATTTCTCTCTGAAATGCGTGGATTATTCTGGACAACTTTTGTTCAATGGTCATTATTGTAGAATTAAACGGGATGCAGTACTGAAAGCACTTACTTTTAATGTTTTCAAAATCTCCTGTGATTACCACAATACTGGCGGATACAGTCCATGCTCTCTCGCACACAACGCACACCTGTGATCACCTCTATATCCTCCCTGGAACTACCCTTTCCTCCAAAACATCCTTTGGCGTCCCTTGTTCAGAGCTCCTCGTTCCGGCTAACACTATTACTATTTGCATCTAACCCTAAACTAACCTACACATATCTTAAAGCTACTATTTCCAGACTCTTTCACATCACTAGACCGTCTCACTGCCATTTCCACATAATAGAAGCAATTTTTCTTCTTTTTAACTCATCATACTGTTCTCATTATTTCAATTGGATACAGTTGATGAAACCCATATACAACTTTTAATAAGTTCATTTTTGTAATATTGTAGGGTTCCAGCTGGTGAGGTTAGCAAGATTCTACGCCAAGGACCTCGTTTGGATGTGATTGAGCCTGAGAGAGCCCAGCCTTTTGGTTCAATTGTCGCCAGGTCTTTTGGACGATCCATGACCAGCAAAACCGTGAGCAGGCCCAATGGCGTAAGTTGTCGTTGTGAATTTTGCTTTTTAGAAAATTTTAGGAAACATTATTTTAAAAAGTGTAAATCAGATGAAAGGATAAAATTTCAGGGAGATCATTTGAAGATCAGTGTTCTGAGAAGTCTTTTCTTAAGGTATACTCTCATTTCACTAGCCTGAGTACCATTCAGCTTGATTCATTTTGTGTGAAACTTTGAAACAACATATGGTTTTAACCACCAATTCCGATTTTGATGTGGTGTGATTGTTCTGGTTTAATGCACCTTATTTAATGTAACTTAAATCTGAAAACTTTTTTTGCCAAAATGTAAATGTGGGTAAAATAATGAAAATTTGGGCCAATATGCTTATTTTCTCTTTAATAATTCTTCATAATTCATTTTCTCTCTCATAATTTATGATGTATGATCAGTACTTTGTAACTTATGATCATCTTTTGCCTGAAGTCAGTGTTGGATTTTGTTACTTAAATTAGTTTTGAAAATTTTTTAACATAGTAGTTGGAAGAGACTCAGCGAGATTGAGATTTACTAAAAGGTCAATTACTTTAATTATTGCAGGGTATTGAACATCATAAGTCAGTGCGTGACAGTTCCGGAAATGAAGAAGTTACTGTAACACGCTCAATTGGAGGCCAAAGTTACACCATTACCACCAAAACAGATGCACAGGGAAAACAAGAACGCATTGAAAATTTTGTTAACATGGATGAAGGTGAGAAAGATAACATTTTGAGAGAATTCAGTAGTTGAAGGCAGTTCAGTTGTAACCAGTTCTTTAAAAGTCCTGCCATGTTTCTTGTAGCACATTTAAGGCCTATATTACCATCTTAGGTTAAGTGCGCTTGTTAACTGATTTCTGTTTAAATTATCTTCAGGTCAGAGTAAGAGTCTTGTATTACAGCTGCACAATAACCGAGAATCAGTTATAGTAACTACTTTGTTACTGTTATGACTATGAAATTTGCATTGGATGGCAGTACTTTCTAGTTCTCAAAAGTAATCATAGATAGCAGTTTGATTTCAATATTAATTTTTGTCCAATGTTCATTTCTTCGTGTTTGTTAATGTACTTGTTTTCAAACCACTTAAAGATTGTAGATGATGTTGGAAATTGTGGATCATATATCAATCCGGTTGTGGTACACCATTCTCTTAACTTCATCATTCAATAGCAAACAAAATGCTTTTTCTTATGAATACCTCACCAAGGAAAAATAAAATATATTTTTATTTATAATATATAATTTTCTTTTGTCGCAAATTATTTTCAAACATTTTCTGTTTTGAAAATGAATATAAAAGGGTTTTCTTCATACCAATAATAGTGGGAAATTAAATAAATTTGCATTTGTATTCAAACCCATGTGCGATACACTCACTTTTGTTTTACTGATTATTGAAACATCCTTTTTATTATAGTCCATTATTGAAATAAACGGATTGAGGAAAGAAAGAGATTTGTGGCATTCCCAGTCCCATGTGTTGGACAAGTTTAGCTCATTTTATTTTGTCAAAATATATCAGAATTTGATTATCAGAAAGTGTTTCAGCTAACATTGGATGAGCCGCTCTATTGGAAACAAATCTGTCAGATACTGAGCATTTAAAGTGCTACTCCTTACTTTGCTCTTTGGTTGACTCTTAGTTATCAGGAGCAGTTAAACCTCCTATTATGCTTTAACCAGCTTGTCTTAATACCATTTTAGATCACAAACTTCCCTAGAACGTGACCCAAAGGTTGTAATATAGACCCTTAATTTGGTTATCCATTATCAGAAACTTTTTCTTCTCTAAATAATTCTTTCAGAAATCTCTCTAAACAAGGCTGATTTGTTTTTTCTTACTCTCGGAGTGGATCATAATACACATACAGTACCAGTAGTGTATCAGCGACTCTGACAGTTCTATGCTCTGTTGCCACACATAACTACTCTCATTGTACCACCTACTTGCTGCTGTAATGCACATTAAAACTGGTATAACTCCATCCTCAGTTCTGTAAGAATTATATATGTAAATCCAAGATTCCATTTCTTTTATACAAGATTGACTAAGAACTAAATAATAACAAAGGCTATTCTCATCATTCTCTTTTGTCAACCATGCTTTTAGAATGGCAATTTGAAAATGTGCTTCGCAAAATGATGACATTAACATGTATCTTTTTCATGATCTATGAAATTTTTGTTTACAGGTGACCTGAAGGAATTTGAGAAGAAGTGGGGAAGTAAATTGTGAACTTCTCTGGTAACCTAACTCATGATTGTCTTTTGTATATACACTACAAACTGTTCTTAATGGGATGTTGAAACTAAGTAAGATCTGGGTTATACATATTGTTCATGGTGTATTTTGTTCCGAGGTCTGTTGTAAATTTGTTGTATATTTTCGTTTTACGATATAAGCAGTATAGAGAATTTAAGGCCTTCTGTGCTGGAGGGTTTATTCCATAAAGGTGGTTACAAATTACCTTAACGTGATTAAATCACTAAAATAAAGATTATATTTGCCCCCAATTTATTTATTTTTTGTGAGAACCTCTGTAAGAAACAAGTCATATTATTGAAATATTGCCTTGGTATTTCTTTTGACTTTCCACTACCCAATTAATTATATGAAATCAATGCTTGTAGAAAAGACAGATTCATACCCAAAATGAAGACAAAGTTATTCGATTAGGTTGAGGCTTTCATAATTTGACTTGTTGGAAGGACTGCTATACCATTCTTTCACTCCCCTTAATATAAAGAATAATATATTTCACAACATTTGCTGTTGCTCCCCATACGTGAAGATTAAACTATTTTTGAGAATCTTGAAAATTAGTTTTGTTTTTTAAACTTACCTATGCCACTGCTTTATCATTTATTACATATTTAATGTTGCCACCTTGCTGTTTGTAATGTTTTGGCAAGATTGTGTATTAAATCATGACTTTTTCCCTTCAACACATGCATAGTTAGGGAGTTGTTTATTAAAATACATAGACTACAAAATAGGCAAGTTTCCTAATAAATGATTGGTATTTATTTTGAATTTTCATTAGGTGAAATTTTCCAACATTACCTGCCTACTCCTTTCTAGTTGATAATTTTGTAAACTTGTAATGAAGGTTTATTAAAAATAAAGTTATGGTTTGCAGTATATTAGCCTTTATTTGTTGAATGGGTATTTCTTCTATTAATTTCATTGGGAATTTTACAACTGGTGCAATTTTACTTCATCAAATTGAAAACATTTGGCAATGCACCAAATCTGTTTATTGCACAGTAACAATTATATTTTAACATCTTGAAGTTAAATTTAAAGTATTTTAACAATAATCCTACTGAAATTACCTGTCTGATGGAGATGCAAGATACGTCTTTTTATGAAAAGGCAAGAACATGCATTATTTACATGCCTTTTCATAGAAGTACATAAAATAACAATTGTGAATCAAAGGTTAATTACTTTCAATATGTTACAAAACACCTTCCATCAATTGCATTTCCATATTTAAATTACATAACAGTTTAAAAATTGTGATGCACATAGCAGAACAGAACTTGCAAAACACAAAACATCACACTAAAAACAATACAAACTTTTATCTTTGGCTTTGGCACTGTAAAAGTTTATCACACACGGCTATCCGATTTTCAATTGGCGTGCAGTACGATGTAGAGTCGAAAACTTAGGCTGAAATGTTTTTATACACAGCAGCTGTGACGTTTCCTTCGTGTTGAATGAGGCAAGTTTTACTATCACTTTCCAGAGATATTACTGGAGGCGGCAGGTCAGGATGAAGCTTTCCAACTTGATCGGCAATTGCTTTGATGATTCCTGAACTTTCTTTGGAAGCTTTCCCAGTCACTCCCAGACATAAACCTTTGTTGTCTGCTAGAACGCAACCAGTCACACCATTCACCTGACCTATTTCCTTCAGGCACTTGTTCAAATCCATCGTAGAAACTCCTGGGAAAAATCACCAGTGTAATTAATGTGGAGGAAAGAGTACAGTACAATTCCTTTTGCAACTTACGAACGCCTACGACTGAGCCCTACTCATAATGTACACACCACAGTAAGTTCGGGCTGCGTACAAGCACGAGACATCTGATTTAGCAGATATGATCACGTGCGTCGTAGGCACGTCATCTACCGCCGGTAGTAGCAATCACTAAAGCTTTGTTTGATTGCCAATAGAGGGCAGGCGGCATTTGTTCGCAGGTGCCACTTTCAACTAAACCCGCGTATTCTTCGATGTAAATCAGTCGTGAAGTGAAATTGACCAAGGGAATAATCACGAATTGTGTAGGAATACATGATTTTGATTTCTAATTATTTTAAAGACGTAAGTCAAGTGTATTTGAGGAACAATGTTAAGGTGTCAAGAAGTGTATGAAACTGAAAAATGACAAAAGTGTATTATACTCTATTTATAGGAACTGTGAAGTCCTCTGAGGATGAGCATTATTCTGGAAAATATTTCAGCTGTACAGAAGAAGCTTCATGTGACTGAATACTAAAAAGCGAAGATTGTGAGTCGGGTTTGGAATTATAAAGTTATGAAGCAAAATCCAAAAAAGATTCAGAAAACGTTGGGGGAGTGCGTCAGATATTATGTTTCTTGAAATTGAATGGATAACCGAGAAATAGGTTTAGTGCAACGTTGGTAAAACTACTGTATTGGTTTCCTTCAGGAAGAATACTCATAATGAATAAACGCGATAATCAGGTATCGTTCGAAAAAGTAATGATCGTACTTCAGCAAAATAACATTAATACCGACCGTCCTCTTAGGTCAGTTGATTGTCTTATAGTAATGGAGTGAAATGGGTTGTGTTAAGCAATGAAACAGTTCCAGTAAGGTATTAAATTCAAGGTAGGAAGATAAGAAGTCGTGCTTCAAAGAATAAGAACAATCTATAGCTGGATAACAAGGCTGCAAATGCTGACAAATGGACTAGAGGCAATGGTAAGTCATCTTAATGTCTATTTATCTTCTTTAAACATTGTAAAATTGTTTTGCCTGTTATAAAGTGTGAAAACTATGCGAAAACATGATAAAACCTACTTTACTCAAAATTAATTTACTGCTAAGAAAGTAACTGTGAACGTTCAGAAACCAAAGTTGTTTCGGTAAATTCTTTTAGATGAAGGTAAATGATAAACAAATAAAATGTGTGAACTTTTTTGTCGATATTTGTGGAGGCTCGGTTATTATCCATTATTATCCTAAATTTAAAATAATATCTCCTTAAATTAAGAAATGCAGTAGCTTACATAAATTTCTAAATATATCTAAAATAAATTATCTAATATTGGGTATTCCAAATAAATGAAAGGTTAAGATTTGATGGTTCCTTTACCGAGTTTGGCAGGAAACCTAATTTATGAATGAATTAGTGGTGACACACAACGACACATACTTTCTCGAACTAGATAGTTTATTTTTCTCTTGGGCGTCTAAGAGGCCAACAGGGCCTCTCGTGGTACTTACCGTTCCTCGAGGAGGTCAACATCTTCGCGAATGCAGAACATCGTATAAACCTACATTGGTCGTGAACGGCATTCCGTGGCTCCATGGTACCTCGGTGCTTGTACCATTGTTCTGGGTTGTGGAATCCAGTAGTTCGATCACAGATTGCAGGGCACTTGCAGGGCAAGAAGTCATGGCGCAGATGTAATACACCGGGGTCTCGAACTCAACTGAAAACATTCATGGCTTACGTGGAGTTTTGAACTCACAGCTTCAGTGTTTTTCTCCTGCCCCAAGTCCCGTCTCAATGCCGAGTCGCTTGACCCGCACTAATTGTAAACAGGTTGGGGCTTTGTAACATAATAATTCGAAAAAGTAACGAAAAGTAACTTTTTTATGCACACCTCGCCTTTAATGTGTTTTGTAATATTGAATCTAAGTATCATAAGGATTTTCAAACCATTCGTTTCCATAGCATCATTGCAAACGAAGTTATGTTAGTAATAAAATCAACGAGAGAATATAACTTGCGTCAGGAAAGTCGCTCCGCACCGAGCCGAATCGAGGCCTGGCATGAAAAATTGCATTTATGTTCGCAGCAACCAAATCACTGGGGGAAAAGTGAAAGGGACAACATTTCCAGCATCTGTTATGATTGTGATCATGGAGCTAAGAATATATTCATAGCTCCATGATTGTGCCGAGTTGATTACGCAATTTATGTTTTCATTTGTTGTGAAATGTAGTTCGTGCTACCAACATAATTTCTATTCCTTGCACTATCACCAACAACCAGTACCATTGTGGAGAGACTTCCCTGGCGCATTGTATTATATCTCGTTGATTAAAAGTAGATGCAATGCACTCAGAAATAAACAATTTTCTCAAAATTATCTATCTCCACAGAAAATGTTGTAGAACACAATGTTCACAGCACTATCGGTTTACACAAATTTAGATCACATTCATGTAAAAATTATATTGTGTAAATCGTGTTTAAAAAAAAACAAAAAACAACGCATACTTGTTTCGTATATTCCCAGATTTTTTTACTTCTAATGGTAGAATGGAAATATGACTATGAATATTGTAGGAGAATCTGGTTCTATATGTAAAATAATATAATTGTAAAGATTCAGGCTGTTTTTGAGAAAATGTCGTTTGAGAGTTTCTGTAAATGTACGATTATGAGCTCATAAATAAGTTATGATTTTTAGATCTCGATTTCTTTTGTAATTAATAAACAATTCACATGTTTCTGGAATGGTTATATATTTCTGCAATGCAAGTTTTTGCTCGGAAAGTAGTTTTTCAAAGTAACTTTTGAGTGCTTTGTGCGGCTGAGCCATTCGGAGTATCCAAGGAGTTTGTTAGTCAACATATGTTTAAAAATGTCTTACGAGCTTATTTTCGAAGTTTCCACCTTTCCTCCCTGGACACTCTTTAACACGTCTGGGAACAACATTAGCAGAACTTCTTAATCAAAACTGATATTTTCCATCAATCAGGCTGACGTCGCGGCCCTCATTGGAAACTGTTATATTATTTTTTGGCGTATTGACATGAGACCCAACACATTACATAATCTTTCTCCAAATAACTCCAAATTTTCTTTAAGTTTTTATTGAATTCAAAAATAATGGCTTTGTAAAAAAATGGTGCATGGATGATTTTCGAAGAATTCACTTGATTCACTAAACATTGGAGAAGGTAATTTTTTGGCTTTCCAACGACAAAATTGAAGATAGAAATTATTCAGTCATAAATGTTTTTCTTCCACAATAAATATTTAAATGAGACCTTGAAACATTTTTCAAAATGAGAATAGTTTTCTCATAATTTTCGATGTAATAAAAGAAAATGTAAAAATCTTTGTTAAAGATTCTTCCAAAACAGCTTCAAATTTGTCTTTAATTTTTTGTCTCTTAATGCAAAGTATGCATATAGACATCCTCATGTCCGATTTTCGTTGAACTGTCTGAATTTTCGAAAATTTCAAAAGTTACAAGTAATGTGAGAATGAATTTGCTTCTGTTTCGTAAAAAATAAAAGATGGAATTATGAAATGTATTGAATGACACGGTCAATAACACAAAAACAGACTCCGTTGGTCATAAACCTCGGTTGTCGTATCTTACAAACTTTAATTAGTCCGATATTTGTTATTTATCGGCCTAATGACAATCAATCAAATGTTTCTAATAATAATATAATTATAATTATAATAATAATAATAATAATAATAACAATAATAATAACAACAACAACAACAACAATAATAATAATAATAATAATAATAATAATAATAATATATTTCTTACATAAACACAGCATACACCATGTATGACAAATCAGGATATGAATAATCATGCAATGCACAATACAGGTATTTCTAAAAAATTACAATAAATGCAAGACATAATTTAAAATTCAATTCAATTCTCGTACTAAATACAATATAATGGAATGCTACTATGTCGAAGGAGCTTCTCTGTGCCAGTGGACTACATTGTTGGTGCTAGGAGGGAAAAAACCTAATAGTGAATTCGAAATTGTGAAGATTAATATTTGGAGTGAGCTTTGCGTGCGTCGATTGTCAAGGTTGTCGAGCACCTGGCGAAAGTTCGTTAAAAGCGAGTGTTGATGTTTGTGGGGGAAATTTATTATTTTTTCAAGATCCTTGTAGCGACGTTCGAATTTATACGTGAATTTCCAAATTATTAGTTGCGATTGTTCGATTGCAATGAGTAAAAGTAAGGGAAGCTAGTGGTGCTACAATAGCACATACGTTCTTGCGAGCGAGCGTGCATACGTGCGAGCACGAGCAGTGGGTATCTAAAAGATTTGGCTCTATCATAAGGTTTTCTTCAATATGTGATCCATCCATTTGCTGTAGATGCTCAGGAAGTCAAGATGAAACGAATTTTGCATGCAATAAGAGCATGATTTCTAGGAAAGGGCTATTGTGACGCTACGTATGTAAACAACTTGGAGATCAATTCCGTAAAGTTAAAACAGACAACTACTGCGCGCATTTAATATTAATGAATACCGCACAACTGGCTTATTTGGGTCAGACCATCACCTGACGTCCCCGCAGGGCCTGTGTCTGGGACGTTTTAGCGTTCGGGTTGCCATGGTGGCAGGATTGTGACACTGTCTACATAGATATAGGTCAGCCACTGCCAGGAGAAGAATTCTAGCGGCCGGCTGCTCTGATTGGTAGTTTTCCGTGGTTTCGCTGATCAATGCCTGGTGAATGCCGGAGCGGTAGCTTAACAAAAGGGCCACGGAGCGCGTGCCTTCTTTCCTCCCGCTTCTTTGTCCTATCCCCTTACACACACACACACACACACACACACAAACATGCAATACACTAACCACACCAACTTGTGGCGGCTGGGGCGGTGACCCGTGGGAGAAATGGCTGCTTGCGGAAAAGCCCGCTCGCCGACGTGCAGGTCGCGGCCGGATCTCGCCGCCCAGGGAAAGATAAATACATGCTACACCCTGACTAAGGACCTTTGCAGCTGACGTGCCCGCAAATACTAATCAAACAATCAAAGCTACTGCAATCCTCCCTTCGTTACTCGACGCCCTAAGTACAAAAAGACGAAGTATGCCAAAGTTGTCTGATTTTT